ATATTATAAATAATTATAGACCAGCTTAATGTTTGGCTTAACTAGACACAGAGATGTAAATCAATCTGTGTAAAGGCACAGCAGTAAAATAGTTACAGCTTCCCAGATTAGGGACTATTTCCGACTTTACCACAAACGCTCTAACTATACTTAATAGCTAACATTAATTCATATAAAGGTAATTCAGGCAATTGGAGAAGTGCACAAGATGATCAAATCCCTCATTCTTCCTACAGCACTCTCCTTATTTAGAGCTATTCTTTGCACAAGAAAATAGCAGTATTCAGCTGAGAATGCTGGACCAAGGGCACCATGGACCACATGGGTAAATGATCACAAGAATATAAGAAATAAGACACATATTGAAAAAAAAAGTCATTAAAATGAGCCTGTTGTTCACTCACCCATGAACAAGCCACAACAGACATCATTGGCAGTGAAACACACTATTTTTAAAGCAACTCCTGCTTTACAAATTCTTTGAAAATTGCAAATGTCTCTGCTGTCTGATACGGTGGGCAGTTATATGGCATGTTGCTCTTAATACTGATTTTGGTCCCCGGCAACTGCTTATGTAACTAACTGGTTCAACAGCAACTGCAGATTCTACCATTGAATATATTATAATCAGTTTTTGTAAGTGTTTGAGCTTATTACTCACTCAGGTATACATTAGTAAATCACTATCACTCCAGTCACCTTTGAAAGCAAATGCAAATGTTCTGGTGAGTACGCCTGTATTCACGGAGCGGCCCTACTGACAAAGAAGCTGCCGTCTGCCATACACACATGAGAACATGAGCTGAAATTACAGTAATTTCTGTGATAGCTAAAATACAAATTAATACATCTGATGTCCAAAGAATGCCATGAAACATTTTTTTCCTACTTACTTTCTGTGTGAAAAGTAATTTACAGTATTTCAAAGTGCTATCTAGAAACCGCACGCAGCAGCCAAGCACAGGAGAAAAAGAGCGCCAGACCCTGAACCATACCAGCCCACAGAGAAGTCCGTTTTTCTTTCCGAAAACTTGTGGAACGATGCCAGTATTTAAGGGCAGTATCTATCCATCGCTTTTTAGTATGGCCCTCAGCCTCCTCATTTGTGGCGGGGAGGGGGCAGAGAGGAGCTTTGTCTTTGGAACATTTTCAACACGTTGAGAACTGGCACATGGGGAAAAAGATACGGGAGCGGGGCGGGGCAGGGAAATAAAAGGTAAGTCTAGTCCAACAGGGAAACTGAAAACTCCTTTTGGAAGAAGGTCTATTTGAGCCTCAGGAAGCAAAAAAGAAAAGTACAAGCATAGCTGCTCCCAGGGTGGCTATAGCTAAGTGATGAAGCAACTCCCCTCTTCTTTACTGCCCTTGGCAAACAGCCCAGTCCGTTTCAGGCTCCCCAGGTAAACACCAGAAAGCTCCAAGAGAAGATCAATTTTATCCCAATCTGTTTTATTCGAGTTTGCTGGGCAGAGTTTACTGCAGTATTTCTGTTTTCCTTGTTCCTGGTGACAGTGCTTTGCAATTATTTTTCTACCGGTAGCACTAGTCCCAGTGCCAAAATTTAGCAGTAGCTTTCTTGATTGGAACAGTATGCAACGCAGACTTCCTACAGAGAACTTTGCAGATGCAGTGTCTAAGACCCTTATTGTGCTTTTGGCAATGATGGTATATTTTGTAAGAAAATCTGTTATCTCCTTAATACAAAGCACCCCCAAGCTAGTCTCCACTGAAATACCCGTGGCTTGTTGGGTTGACTTCTCAACGTTTATGAATGCGATGACATCCAAGAGAATTTCAGACCACGAAACTCCAAAGCAACACTTTCCTACTGCCTCCTACTGTTTTAAAGATGGCAAGTACCCCCCAAACACATTTGCACACAGAATGTATGCTATATACACACACACACATATATGTGTATTTTTTCTCAAGGTGTCTATTGATAATATGCACAATGAGGATTTAAAGATTTGATGCAAACAGTGCAGAGTTTTTATGAAGAGCTTTCATAAACTATGAAAGTGGTAATTGAGGTTCTTTTATCACTTCTGCTGGACAACAGGTCTCCACTGAGCAAAATGCACTTAGAAACCATTCTATCCTATCCAGGTTTTTAGCAGTTGTGAACCAATGCATTCACTAAGAGACCTGGGAAAGGAGCGGAGATGGGGAAAAGCCTTCATTAAAAAGAAAACATACTCTTCTATGGCTTTCTACAGTAAAAAACTGGTATTAAAGCATGGCTCTAACAAGAAAAAAATTAAAAGATAATCACTCCAGTCTGCAGGAAATGGCATTTACATTTCATGCAAGAAATACAGTCTTAAAATCTGTCTGGTTTAAATGTCTGTCACCATGTGTCCATGCATCAGATTTACTCACAGGTGCCTCTTAACTCATCAGGCAACTCAGACAATTCTGAATAATTTTTATATTCCTTTTTCTGAAATTAAATTGTTAAGATTCTCAAATTGAATTCTCAAGAGTCTCAAATTTCAGTGCTACTATTTAAAAAACTAATTTTTTTTAAAAAATACAGTTCCTGTTGTTTTCCTGTTATAGTTTCAAAGTGCCTTTTTTGGGCTGGCACAGTCATTAATGTCCTATAAACATTCATTATTGTAGGAAAACTATGAATATGTGACAAGATTAAAAGGAACACAGGCTAAGACATAAGTACATATTATCATTATTTATTACTTGTAATACCATAGTGCCTATGAGGTCTAATCACAAATCAAGACTTCCTGGATAATTAGAATAAAAAGATTCATTTGAGGAAAACACTGTGGAGGACCACCTTATAATATCATAGTGGAATCAGTCTTTACAGAAACTCTCCAACTCCAGAACTGGGGCTTGATAGAAACCCCTGTTGGAAAAACATTGAGTAAAATTCTCAGTCATAAAGACGAACAAAAGACAGTAACACTATTCAGAAAGTAAGGTTTCAAAAGGAGTCTCATTTGCAAGGGTAAGGCTTTCCTTTCTGGAGGCCAGACAGCAAAGGTAGCTAAGACCATATTAATGAAAAACACCGATAAAGCTGAGATGCATCATCAGTGCAGAAGAAGATAGGAGCTTCATATAGAAAGAACTAGCTGACTTGAGCAACAGAAACTAAACATACTTCAGGAGTACAAAAATAATACAGGGAACAATTGCAATTGTAGCTCTAAGCTGGGAGTTATCCGCTAGGAATGAACAGGATGCTGCAATCATAACAGCTCATAGAATGATTACGAACTACCAGCGTGATGCAACCATGAAAAAGGCAAATAGGATCCTGGGTTGCACGCAGAGAAAAGCTCACGCAGAGAAAAGCTCCCACAGAAACAGATATGTATTAATGCTACTACAGTGAGGAGAGTTCACAGGAACACTGTCCGTGATTCTGGTCATCCAAGTGCAAAACAGATTATTTCAGCCTGGAGCAGACTGAGGGACAAGCTACCCTGACGACTTCCAGATTCTGTCTACTTTCCTTTTTTGCAAGAGGACGAGATTTCTTGGTTTATTTAGTCTAATAAAACAAAGGTTGTGAGGGGATATGATGTAGTCCGTAAACACAACCAGAGCATTAACAATAAAGAGAAGAGGAGCCTCTAAGCTACAAGACAATGTTGCCACAAGAACAAACAGGCATTAATTGTCCAGCAATAAACGCAGGCTGGAATTCTGAAGAATGTTTGTAAAGAAAGAAATAATATTCTACAAACAGCCTTCAGATCAAAGCAGTGGGAGGATGAAAACACTGCCTAGCCTTGAAATAGAAATAGGTATCTACATTAAATGGGATGAAATGAGACGCACACCTGCCAATCACAGAGGACCAAGCACAGTAACCTTCTCCTTTCCACTCCAGTGTTCCTATGTGATGTTTTCCCAGCCTATTTCTATCATGTACATTGGGGAATCTATAAGAAACAACAACAACAAACCTTGGCTGTGAAAGTACATTAGATATTGAAATATCTTTTAAGTTATTTTGTTCTTAGAAGTAACCTTTAAAATATCCTCTATAAATGTACAACTACAGTGAAGTCACATCTCTGTAAGTACAAGATGGGAATAAGAGTAAAGACTGGATAATTCTGAGTGGTGCAGAGACAAACTGTGGTTGTTCACTACTTCTTTTGATGGAAGAGCTGGAGGACCATCATCTGAAAATAGCCTGTTCAAAAAAAAAACCAGCCCCCCCTCTGCCTTCCCACTGCTGCCCCACCAAAGCCCCACAAAAAAGCCTGGCAACCAGAAAGCTAGTTCTTCACAGGACGTGTGGTCAAGCTGCAGAACTCCTTGCCATGGGATGTTGTAGATGCTAAGACTTCACGGGATAAAAAAGAGGGACATTGGACAAGTTGTCATTCCATTAATATATTGAGACCTATTAAATACAAGAAACCTCTTCCAGACCAGAAGTCCCCAACTGCTAATTTTTGGAAGCTGAGAGTTGTCAGCAGTAGTTTCACTTAGGTGCCGCTCTTATTCTTACAATCCTCCCGAGGCATTCACTCTTGCCACTCTTGGAAGCAGGATACTGGGTTAATTAACTACTGCTTTGATGCAGCACTGCTGTTCTTGCATTACATTCAACCAGCAGAGCACAGTACAGGCTCGCTTACCCCATATTAGAAAGGTTTTCAGTTTGGTTTGAGGCTCAGGCAGCAGCAGGTCTTGGGTTCCCATTTTGCAGAATGTAGCATGCAAGTCAACTGCCTTCACAGAGCTCTGCAGAGGTACTACGGTTTTCCTGTGCTGAACCTACACCTTACTCCTTCCCATGGGTTTTCTTCTGAAAATGAAAAGTCGTCTTCTGCTTTAAGAATCGGTACATTCCTTCCTATAAAACCAGCTTAAACCTTGCTCTAATTGCCTGTTGTGCCTTTTTAGGATTCCAAGAAAAAAAGAGAAAAAAAAAGCTACACAGAATTGACTGAAGGGGGAAAAAAAAAAAGCCAGCAAAACCCAAGCAAACAACACAGACATGCAAAACTCACCACATTTCATCATTCCCACTTCATAACACTTCCGTAGCCGGCATGCCTGGCAGCTTTTGCGCCTGTTTTTGTCTATCGTGCATTGATTGGTAGCTGGGCAGATGTAATCGTTGTGTCCTGCAGCAGAGTAAGAAGAGAAAATTTAACATCTCCGACAGTCTTTCTTGGTCATTTCCCAAATCAGGACCTTCTTGATTTTAAGCATCTCAACTTTTTCATATGCATCTATCTAAGCTCCATTAATTTAACTGATGCAAAAATGCATATTTATCCTATACTGAAAACATCAATCCGTGGCCTCAAAAAGTAACCAGACAACATAGACCGGCTTTCACTGATGACTGTTAGGTAACCAAGCACTTTCTAATACCAACTCATTTTTGAAAATGGGACATAGGCTTTTGTGGAAATTTGCTCCCAACCTCCAACTTCTTACTGTATATTGGGACTGTACAGATGGCAGACAGTAGATTTTTTTTTTTTCCTCAGCAAAGTTAAAAACAGCAGTGCACACAGCTTCAGTCCGGCAAAGATTTAAGTAAACTACAGCTCTATTTACTGAACTCTCTGACGTGGTGAGTTCCAGGAATGAAGAAGCCTTTGGAGGATTGACCCTGGACCAAAGTTAATAAAAAAAAGCAGCCCAAGAGAAAAAGAAAACTAGTATAAAATAATGCACACTGTATAGTACAAAGAAAAGCACAAGCAGAAGGTATAACTTTTAGATATTGTGGACAAATGTTTCTCTTATTTTCATCAGTTTCCACTACAGCCCCTTCTGTTGTCTTCTCTTTCTATCCCACCTCACCTCGCCCCCACCCAAACCCCTTTACATTATTGTATTTCATTAATCAATAATCTGGTCCAAAGGTTTATTACTGTAAACTGGACTTGAGTATGCTCTTGGTGTAAATACAGTCAAATACATACAAATACTGGAAATCTCTCTTGCAGTAGTTACCAAAGGATGCAAAAAATATTCACTCATTTACATTTCTTAATGTCTTTTCTCTCGGGTTGTTTTTTAAGTTATTTTTTCAACCCTTAAGAATAGATCAGGCAAAGATACAGCTACTAGAGTTTTTTTTACTTGATGCAAGTCCAAGAGTTCATGCCCCCAAGAGTAATTATTTAACTGAACCATTGTGACTATTTCCTTGCAAAATTAAAATAATTTTGACCTTGAATATTTGAACTGACAATTTTAAAAGTAAGAGATTAGGTTACAGTTTGTCCCATTTCCTACTGGCAGATATGACTGAAAAACAAATTACTGTTTATCAGTCTTCACACAACATGGGGGGAAAGGAGGAGGAAGCTCTCTGTTGCACTATAACCCAAGCACACAGGAGTATAAAGTGGTTTAAAACTCCTGTGGCCTTGGGATAATTTAGCTTGCAGGCAGATGTTCAGAGATGTGGGACGAATACACTACACTACAAACTTGGACAAGCAGAGAAGACCACACACAGTTGCTCAGTCATACCATCTAATTTTAATTAGACATTAGCCCAACATTTTCGTCTATGGTAGGCCCAGAAGTTTTTTACTTTTTATAAGCAATATCCTTCATAACAACTGTTGCAACTAAGTGCTTGATAGTGTTTTATGCCAAGAACTAACTTTCATTTATTTGAATTACAATCAAACGTTACCTGACAGGGTACATTAAGGCGTACAAAAGGCCACAATGGGTAAGTTGTTCACGGCCAAAGCACATGTGAGCAACACAGAGCAGGCAAATAGTTTTTCTGACAGAAAACACTTTGAGATCAAATTCAATCTCCATTTGTGACAAACTGGAGACAAAGTTCTCTTCAATTATTTTAGAAATCAAAAGAACTTGCACCAGTTTATAGAAATTGTTATTCACCCATGCAGAACTTTCACAATAAATTGAAAAGGCAAACAAGTTTTGAATTAAATTTGATTCTAATGGTGACACCAACTCTGCCATATTGATCCAAAAGAAAATATCTCAAGATTACTAAAGGCTTTGTGTGCAGAAGAGGAAAGGAACATTACAGACCAAAAAATGACAGGATTTTCTGTGTTAGTATCTGCATGTAATATCCAATGTCAATCCAATTAAGTTTCCACCAAGAGGCCCCGGATGAGGCCAAAGAACATGATAACTAGAGCCAAGGTTAAAGAAATGAAGTGGTCCAAAGCTGCAATATGGTGCGTAAGTCACTGCCCATAGGCTGTGATAACAAACATGGAGACCTACATTTACTTCATACTGCAGCCACTCAGCAAATTTGAACTAAATACCAAATATTAAAGAATTTAAACACTGAAGTGTAAACCTTAGATAGAGAGATCTGGCAGAGTAAGAAATACTGCAATGTAGGCTCTGGGGGGTGGAGGGCTGAGAAATAACAATAATCAGGTTTGTACTGAATACTTGCTACACATATTTTTATATCCTACATACTGTGTAGATATTATATGCTATGACTCAACAGCTCCAGGCAATATACTCTTGTCAAGAATAGTTCCTGGCAAGCAAAGTCTCCAGGCAATTATCTACTCTAACTGTGTTTATTATAACAAAGTCACAATTACTATGTACTTTGGGACAAAACCTGCAATCAGATTCACAGGTCTGCAGAGCCATCCCACCGAAGCCTTTGCTGCAGGGCCTTTCTGTGCTATGTATTCCACCTCTTCTCTAAAGGAATCAATTGCTCACTTTGTAATGTTTCCAGATCTTGATAACATAAGAGTCAAAAGATAAAGTAGTCAAATCACGTGTTGCTCTATTTTCAGCATGCAGCACCATACACCAGGATTTTAGATCAACTCATTACTAGAACAACCGCTGCAGCCCCTGATCATATGAAACAACTTATTTGAGCAAAGTTATCAAAAGCTGATTCTCCTACCTTGAATACTTCTTTTAAAGAATGCTTTGCAGCCTTCACATGACCAGACCCCATAGTGGTATCCTGAAGCATAGTCACTGCAGACTGCACAGAAGTGGGCATCCCTTTTTGAGCCAGGATTATTTGCAATTGGGCTTGTACAGTCATTGCCATTAGTTTTTCTTTTTAACGTTTCTCTGATAGAAAAGAAAAACATGTTATAAAAGAGGAAAAAATTAATCTACATTGCAAAGAGTTCCATTAGTTTCCATTGTCTTCTATTCTCTCTCTGTAGTCTTCTTATTACTGAACACAGGACAGTGTGAAACACTGTTAAGCCTTTTTCTGATAAGGTTATTTAAAGCATATAGTCTGATCCCAGAGCTTTCAATGGCGACAGACTATAAAGTTTTAAAATACTCTAAGGCATAAAACTGGACTGCTGATGTGTCATTCACATGAACTCTAGGAAAATCATATGGAATTATGATGGATCTTGAAGAATTCTTGGAAATTTACAAGTCCAGGAATTTGTGAACCAAGTGGACTTTGCCTTTGGGAAGCTTCGCATGGAAAATGTGAACTCAGACAGCTTGGGCTGACATGATAAACACTACCACGAACAGAGCTGCGGTTGCTTCGTACTGTTAGCAAGGCAAAAGTCTAGACGGAGCAATACACATCTAGTCTCAAGTATTTCATCCTTTAAACGAGGCTTTATTCATTCAACGAGATGCTGGAGACAAATATCTTGAGATGTGAATCTCAGCCTACAAGATCAACTCACAATGTTAGACAAAGTTTTCTGTTCAAGGTGACGACCCACGCTGATCATCCTAATGCTAAATAAAAGGAAGTCTGAATACAAGAAGAATGGAGAAACACAATTAATAAAATACTTTCATATATTAAAAATATTATTGCTCCATATAAATTAATAAGATATATGCATTCCTGAAGCTCTGCAAATAGTTCCAACTTACTGGAACTATTCTTAATGACTGGATTAAAATTAGAACAGGATAAAAACATGAAATAACAGCCAATTCCTGACACCAAGATCCTGTAAACAAACAGCAAGAGGAAAGGAACTTAGATTATCAGTAAAGTGGTTTTTAGGTATAGGAAACACATCCATTGTGTACTTTTTCTCTGGACTTCATTTTCTTGGTGGTTTTAGCATGCCTTACCTTCATGGTCAATACAATTTCTAGGTAGAGAGAAAACAGGGTCATGTGCAAACTCTCAGCAGCAGTTTTACAAAAGGAAAGCTGTATAGAAAACTTAAAAGCACAGAGGCAGAAGTTAGAAACTGCAGAATTTTCATCATCCCACTTTCCAGCAGGATTAGGCAGGAGAAGAAATATCAGTTGGGATAAGACAGCAGGCAGCATGGTTTATGACTTCTAAAGAACAAGGGTACGTTGCCAGGGCAGAAGAAACCTGTTCACCAACAAGAGCAAGTTTAAACAGAACAGTAGAAACATGCTGAAAGTGCTGTCGAAGAGGCTTTAACTAACATATTAAAAGTAGACTTTGTGCCGGTTTCATGACAGGAGGTAAGGACAAACACACCCACACGCCAACTAAAAATCATCAAGTTTGTAAGTATTTGAGGAGAACGTGCTCCGATTTCCTAGTAGAAAATTTGGAAAGGAAAAAAGGTGGTTCTCTGAGCAAATTCCAAAACAGAAAAATTAAGGTATTTGTTGTACAATTAAGTTACTGCAAGCTTTTAAAAAATGTTAATTCATTCAGATATTACAGGGCATAAGGGTGTTTAGATGTTTAACAAGTCCAGTCTTTGATTACACACACACCCCCATTCATGGATTGCTGAATCATTAGGTTGTTTCCCCTTCTGCTACGCTGGGAAGACCAGTGTGGGGGAACTCGCCCTTAGAATAAAGGGACTGTATCACACACGTCTAATATGCTGCTAATGCAAGAAGAAAAAGCATTGCTATTCCTTCCTGTCTCCCTGTATTTGGAAGAAAAAGTAATTTGGCGTTTCACATTAGTAGAAGAGGTATATTTTTAAGCTGTCCTTGGGAATCATGATCCAATTGTGAGAGTCAGAAGAGAATCAGAATCAGCTAGAGAGCATCTCAGTGACTGACTGATATGCTATAGAGAGCAATGTTTATTGCCCTCGTTAAAGCACGAAGATGATATGGATGAAAATAAAGAAAAAAGCACACACCGTAACATCTCACTGAGGGGTGTTGGTTTTTACCTTCCAGTCATGATAAGTGTTTTAAAAAACACTTTTTCTTTCCCTGCTTAAAAGTTTAATGACAGTCACCCTGCACACATGCAAGTTGCGTGACTTCCACAGACTGTGGCAAACAGCTTGCACACAGAGCAACAATCTGGAATGAATTCCTCCTGCAGGCCGAACGGGCATCAAATCTGCTCGTCTGCAATAGCTGCAGCAGTGCAGCAGGAGGTTCAAACACAATCATTTTATTACCGTTGCCTTTAAGGACGACAGAACTAGGAAATAGTAAAGAGCTTTAAGGTACACATTCCTTACCCTGAGGATCAGACAGCGTATCCACGCAAACAGCAAACCGGACTGGGTAGCCCCACACGTGGTCAAAGACCACCTCCCAGCGCTCTTGGGACTGGTGCACTCCAGCATGCTCAGCAGACGAATGAGCTGCCAGGTCCTCCAGAAGAACTGGAAGTACCTGGCTGTGTGCCCACAAAGCTCCTGCACCACAGGATGCAGGAAAATGGGGGATGTACCCTGGCTGCTACTGAGGAGCCGCATGGACAAAGATTTATCGCTTTACACCTCCTAATACTCCTCTCTATTTTATGATCATGGTTTCTATATAGAGATATTATGTTTCCATAAAAAGAATTAAATTTTTTTTGAAAGTAACAAACCAGTGATTTCCTACTAGTCATCAACAGTGACAAGATGATTACCCTAAAGGAGAAGGAATTGGCAAGACTATTTAGGTTATTCAGTATCTATCGTGTCTCCTAATTACCTCTAGCTTTGCCACAGCAAGTGTTTGATGCATATGCCACGGAAAACTTGAACATAAATTCAACTTTTTATTAAAAATTAAGAAGGGTGGCAAGGATTTGACCTAGAAAGTAGCAAGATTTGCTCATGGCATTTGTTGTCTGTCAGGTTTTTCTAAAACCTAAACTATTGTACATTATAAAAAGAAAGAGAGAAAAAAAACACTGAGAAAATTTAAAAAAATCCATTAAGTCAAAAATTAATAGTCCAGATTTTATAATTTCTTATAACTCTTCCCTCCCTCCCACAGGCCACTGGCTCATTCAGTGCCTGGGGATAATTCCATCCCATACGAGCCTAAGCTATAGGATGAAGGCTCTTCCTTTCTCTCCCAGAATGTGTGCAAGATGATGGGCAAAAATCAGCTGAAGAATACTTTTCAGTGTTTATCTTCCTCTTTTTCTAGAGACTCCCTCCACTATAACTTCTGGAATTGTTAATACCACACAACTGTCAATATTTATGTCTCCAAAGCACAGGTTCTGCTATACTCCAAACATTGATTAATATGCTGAAAATTATGTCATAGATATCTCAAAATTAAGGGACATATTTTTGCTTAATCTCTGTAACCATTCCATCATAAAATGGAGATGCCAACCCATTACCTCAAAGAGACTTCAACATACGTTTAAGTGCTCTGCAGAATGAGCACAATTAAAAAAGCATGGGAGAACAATGCAAATAATTATGGCTTCAGAGCAATGTTGTATAAATATGTATATATACATATAAATATGTATAAATATGAAATTAGCACACAGTGAACAAGACAAAGTTACTAAATAATTTCTAATTAAGCAAGCATTGCTAGCCTGTGTACCCAAAAACCTTTACTTACATGCTTTACTTGCAATTAGTTGGAAGCACAAGGAAAATAAAAGAAGAACAAATTCAGTTCCAGAAACATCACTCTGGCAACTTCATTATAGTTTTCTAATACTTTTTAGAAAGTAATATATCTGTTTGTTTTGAATATAAACCTTTTGTTTCTTTAATTAAAATCCTTTTATTTAGAGGATGAAGACAGAAGTCAATTTCAGACTACTTTTAAATATAATGTAATTACACTGTCACATTCTTTTTCTCTTCATGTCATTTTAATATAAATTGAGTGATCCTGCACCAACAAAATTTATGAGACTATTTCTATTGTCTTCACTAGGTACAGGACCTATAATGCAAATACATATAGCAGAGTCTTTATCACCAAATTATTGCCATTTTGTACAAAACCCATGGAACTCTAAAAATTCACATCTATTTTTACATGGAATACAATTCATTTTTGTTGAACGATTGGTGCAAAGTAATACTACACTGCATAACATTTGCATTTAACAAAGTTAAATAAATTTCTTCTGTATTCATATAATGAACCTATTTGTGAAGAAAGAATGCCGAGAATTCAGGTTCCTTATTTTAAGCTGATCTACAAGGAGAACCAAATTACACCGTGATCAGCTTTAGCAAAGTGGACCACATTAGTTTAGCTAATGTTAACGGAAATTTACACCCAGGGAAAATAAACTCCTCCCATGGTGAGACTCTGGCTTTATTCTGAAAGGTAAAATAAACTGTGTAACAGGCTACGTTGTAGTACATATGTATGTATGTACACATAACTGTGTATGTAGTAATGCTTTCTTGCTCATCTTTCAAACAAAATCCCTTTTCTCAAACTACAACACTGTTTGAAATTACTTACACTTTACAGCATTAGTCTCTTCCTTCCCCCAGAGCTATTCCTTTAAGTTTCAATCCCAAGAACTCTTCCTTCAAGGTATAATCTACGAATCTGTAGTGTCACAGTCGTTGTTCCCATGGCAATAAATATAATGTTCATGACATTAATTTAAGACCTCACCAAAGGATAAAGCAAAAGGAAACACAGGGCTTTTTTTCTTTATAGCCTTATTTCAGGACAGATATCCACAATAAGGGAATTACAGCTTTTGCTTTTTGTGTTTCCACGCCAAATTCTTTTTTTCTTTTTTACAACTTCTATACACAAAGTGGGCGTTACACTGCATCATACTGAGACAAATGAACCACTGAGAAGGTCCAGCTACCAAGCAACACAGTAGTTACTTGCTGCTGAACAACAAAGATCATCCATAAATATAGACTCCAGATTTCATTTCTCCTCTTTAAGTTAGGTCTTCATCAGCTACAAGAGCAATAGTCTGTATGAATCTATACAAATGGCAGAAGACTTATTTACTTAAACTCCAGTGTGGCAGGTTTGGCTTCCCTTCTGTCTGTGTAGAGAGCACACTGCAGAGCATCAGATGGGGTGCTCTTGCTGTTGGGTTATTCCAGCTGCTGTCCCATCACCTGGACAATTTCAAACACTAACCTACAGCAGCCTTCCCAGGGCTGTCAAAGTTTTGAAACATTAACCAAAGCAGGAAGAGTTTGGATGTTAGCCCTAGTCACATTAGACCTGCTTGGGGAATGCTGTATATAAGTGCTACCCAAACGGCCTCTCCCAATCCACACACTTACACTTAAAGTAGATTTGCACTCCGGAACTGCCTGCTACTCTCTGCTGACTCCAAATAGAGACTAGTCAGGTGGCTGGGCTGAAGATCTGTGCAGCCTGCAAGTCTGAAGTAGACAGATCTCACGCCTTAGCCCTGTGCAGTCAACATAAGGCCCACCCATTGCAGAAGGAACGTGGGTAGTCTCAAAAATAGCACAAAACCTTTATTAACAATTGAACTAAAACTGTTGCCAGGACACACTATTTTTCATACTGACAATGACTGCTGAAGTTAAATAAGGAGCCCTATGAATAAACATACAGCTGCTGAAACAGGAACAGCACCTGCAACACCCTGTGCTTCTAGCCATCCAACAGCTGTTGTGCCCATGAATGGAGTAATTTCATCAGCTGATGATCTACACACTGCTTATGGTTTGTAATATGAGTAAACGTGCAGAATGGGAATATGTTTTTGCAAATACAGTTTCTTTATAGCTGAAAATTTAGCCCATGAATCTGCTGTTCACAACGCCTTCATGAAGTCAGTTGAGAACAGCAACAAGAAACCATGTCAGACTTCTCAGCAGCAGCACCCTTTTAAACATGATGCATGTTGCTGTGTGACTGTTAATACTAAAACCAGAAAACAAAGAAAACATTTCCCTTGAATTCTAAGTTCATGAAAAGCCTTCACAACTATTAGAGGCAGTTAAAAAAAAAACCAAACCAAAATCCAGATAAAATGGAATTCAAACAACGTTGTATGAAAAGGAAAAAAGAACAAACCTTTACTTCTTTCACTCAAAGGACTTAATTTTCCAGAGCAAAATTCATTTTTATTACACAAAGTAGTACCTAGCAGTCTTGAACTTTTGTTTGTACACAGTAAACGGTTCCCACATTGAAGGCATTTGTAGTGCTTTGTGTCAGTGTATAGTTCTCTAAGGACCTATTGGAAAAGAAATCCTATTTCAGAAGTTACGTTAAAAGAACCACAAAACCCAGGACTGATTTGGTGTTTGGTGGAGGTTTTTTGGTTTTGTTTTGTTTTTCAGAGAGACCAACACATAGAAGTCAAATGTAAAAAGCAAAGACTTAAAAGAACTAAAGAAACTGTAAATAATTTTCAGCAAAGTTTTAAAGAAATGAGTAGTACTGACCTGGTCACAGGTAGCACTGGCTCCATTGGTCTTGCTTCGCACCAGGGACTCTCTGGCTGCTCTGCATACAGAAGCGATGACTGACAGTGCAACGTCAGAGGGGAGAGATGGCCAGGAGCAGACCATAACACATTGGGACTTGATGTCTGCCTCACAGATGTACTCTCTGAATCACCAAAATTGCTGGTAATGTTGTAATTCATGATAGCAGGACTGCAGAATGCCATTGCAGAATATTCATGTCTGTTTTCCATGTAAGATGAGGGAATATAGACTGGACTGTGTTCTGCTGTCAACGTGGACTGATTACAGCTGTAGGGAACTGGAGAGACGATACCAGCCGGTGAGTTTTTAATTTCTGTTTTATTGCATCCAATATCCTGAAGTGGCAGCAACTGAGAAAAGTCCTTGTGAGAAGATGCACACAGGGACATTTTGAAGCAAGTCTGAAGACTGTTGTTTAAATATTCATCCTAAGATGGCAAGGCATAAAAAAAGTTGAATTAAAAAGTAAGAAAGTTCTGTATTAAGTCTTTTCTATAAAAGAAAAAAGGAATTAGTAAAACAGAAAATATAAAAATATCCTGTTAAAACAGATTACATACCAAATGCACTTAAACAGTCAATGTACAAATTTACTACCTTTAAGAAAAAGAAAGCTTTCTTGAACTTCCTTAAAAATAAAGGCTAAGACACATGTTGAGTTTAGACTCCCTTAACAATAATAATGAAAAAAAAAAAAAGCACTTGAAGCCTGAAACAAAGATGCTGGTGACAACTTGGATCTTAACAAAAGTAACTCGTTACAACCAGGGTAAAACTGCTCTATGTCAGAGGCAAAATTACTCTGTGGCCGAAACCAGGACACGCACACACACACACATATATCTCCTTTACCTTCCGAAACCAGAACTCCACTGCACATCCCTCTCCACAGAGGAGGAAGACATGTAATGGATGCCAGTAAGCAATGCAACTTCATCACAGAGAGGTCCCTGGATACGGCACCTCTGAACAGAGCCATTATAAAAATAGAAGTCGCAAAATGCAGATATTCCCAAAGCTGACAAGACAGAACTTGAGCAATTTCATAAGGTCAGGAAGTTTTATAATTTCCTGCCACTCTACATCCCCATCCCAACTACTCTTCATCCTTCCTCCCACCTGAATCAACTATCAAAACAGAGACCTTAATTTGCCCACAGTAAATACTCTTTGTCAGATTTAGGTTTAAGGGAGAAAAAGTTTTGAAAAGAAAAAAAAAAAAAGCCGACCAAAACCATCCTCCTGAGACATAACCCCTGTCCTGGAAGCATTACTTTTACAGTTGCATTTAAAAATATTTCTTTTTTATTCTTCACTAATTTCATCTGCAATTCATTCCAGCTTTGGAGACAGACATGCAGCCCTCTTACAGTTTGTAATCCAAACAAAATAGCAAGTTGCAGCCCCCACAACTGACACCGTAGTGTACTTTTACAGATGGTAATAAGATCTTGACATGAAAAATCATGGGCTAATTAAAAAGTCACCCGCAGCTTTGCTATTCCAGAAGTGGCCAAAGTATTGATGCCAAATATTCTTACCTTTTTTCACCTCACGTGACCATAAAGCAAGATGAGGAAGATTCAAACACAGGTTTGCTGAAGTACCAGCAACCTCCCTGTCCCAAAAATTCTCAGCCAGATGGCATTTCTAGTATGCTGTCTTGGGGCATTGACGCATTTTTCTCCTCTAGGGTCAGGACTGAGGGTAGAAGCATTAACAAAAAATGTAAGAAGTAGTCTTTTTGAATAAAATGGATAGTTTAGGGTCCGTCCTTCCTTCTCACTTTGCACTCTGTTGATGAAACTGAAGATATCTGTAGAAATAACCAGGAACTCATTTAAATCATCTCAGGCACTTCAGGCCCAGCTGCTGTTTTTTCCTTTGTGGGAAACAGGAAAATGAGATATGTCAGCAGCTGTTTATGTCCAGCAGTTGTTGCACTGGAACTCCAATGCAGCCAAAGCAGGAGAATCTGACCTCGCTCCTCACACAATCTACATGCTTCATTTGCCCCAGCCAGATGCTTCACAGTCTCCTCTAAGAGAAACCAAGCATCATTCAATTTTCACTGCAAAAAGCACTGAAAATCCCAAAGGTGCTTTCGCTCCCAGATTATGGGGTGGGTAGCCCAAGTAATTTTTAAGCAGCAAATGATGGAACTAAGAAATGGTATCAAGACTATTTTCAGTGGTCACTACGACTGGACCCAGTGAGCACACTGAATTCAAAATGCATTTAAAGCTTCTGTGTAGGTAAAGCTGTACACCATTTGTGATCTCAGAGGCTGCACATATTCAAGGTGTGCGTGGACACTCTGCAGGAGCATCTGGAATGTCCAGCAAGAGCTGACCGTGTTGTGTCCCTCTGCCCCCCTACAAAGGGCACAGAGTGCAGGGTAACCCCAAACCCTTCTGAGAGAAGCACCTGAGAGGCATTACAACAACCTCTCTGTTATAGTCAGCTGGAGACATTCTGCTATGATACTTTGATAGTTGTTGCAGCAGGCAACCGGTTGTGTAGTTTCCCTCAGACATTTGGAAAATATATGCATGTACGCTGTAGAAGCAGAGAGAACACAGAGCTGGTACTACACAATTTTACGAACTGAAATCAGCTGAGCTTTAAGTCACCTTTTTCTGGAGAGGTAATCCAGTAGAGTGGTATGCAGGATAACTGCCTGTTTAGCAGAAGGACATATTCTCTCCAAAGGGCAACACACAGTGTTTAGAAACATACATAGAAGTTACAAGAAGCAAGAGTGAAGTTTGTTTTAGAGGGAGGAGTCCATGCAAGCATGAGAAGTCAGTACAGCCTTCCTCAAAAACAGTCTGCTCATGACTTATTTACAAGAGAAGGGACTCTGGGTTCCAGGAGGTTAAAGAAAACTGTACTCATGGTTTTCAGTAGACTGCAATATAGTGAAAGAATAACAGCATCGGCTTAAGATAATTAACTTGGGTCATAGAAATAGTTTAGCTGCAGTAGACTATGGTTCTACATGAGATCACGTTGTTCACATTTCCTTATACCTAGAGAATTTAGAACGGGAAGCCCAGAGCCTTACAAATAAAGTGAAGCTGCTGAAATTATCCGGTATTGCTCAGAAGGTCCTAAAAACTGACTGTTGGACTGTGAAGTTCTAAGGACTGTGAAGTTAAAGAAGGAGTGTAGATTCAGGGAACCAGATCTTAAGATCTAAGGATACAGAAAACAAACTCCACTAACACCAATACCTCAGAAGGAAGCACGACCACATTTAAGTCAAGGATTAGAGTAAGTAGTGCAACAGGCTAATAAATTTGTTCCATGCTGGTATAATGTCTTCATATCTTAAGCACCATTCATTAAACAGAAGTGAACTCCTGCATAAAGTGAACTCCCATTCCAACATCTCCTCCTTCTCTGAAGAAAGATTTTAAAAGCAAGATTCAATTTTAAAGTACATTATTTACATCTAATCTATCAGCACTGCACTAGATCTGTACCAGACACAGAAACAAAACCGGCATCCATTATTTTTATACTGCAGTCTTCTGGGAGACTGCAAATGTTTCAGTCTGCTTAAGTCAGTGTAGCTTAGCAAGACACTCGACAACTGAAATGCCATTATTAAGTAAATAGCCATTTTGTCCGATTCCTTGAGTAACACTTACCATTCACAAATCTAAGTCACTAAGGGCAGGATTCACATCTGGCATAAGAGAAAGTAGTTCCATTGGCTCCAGTACACAGAGGATGACACCACTATCCATGAGGATGTAGAAACAAAAATGTGATGTTATCAACGTTCTCCACCGAAAAAAATTAGGTTTCTGGTCTTTAAACAGCTCTACATATTGAACTCGATGTATGTTGAGAGTCACCATGCAAGACACACCAGATCAGGCACAAGAACTGGTTTAGATGTCATAGTCAAACAGATACATGGGTAAATAATTAAGCCATCTGACCTATTTGAACAAACTCAAAAGCCAGTTATTGCACATTACCTATAGCAAGTATCTTTTTAAAAGCCTTGTATGAAATTTTTTTTGGTTTTTTTAGGTTTTTTTAGTTTTGGAAAGGGGAAAAAATAGGTAGAGAGGGCAGGTTGCCATGTTTTAGAGCCTGCTTGGAAACATAATACAATAGCTTTTCCTAGAAAAATGCAACAGTCTGCAAAAAGCAATAGAGTGATGGATGTTCTCAGGCACCATTCCATCAACATACACTACAACATGCTTAGAATTTTATAGGCAAGTCATATATTTTGAGCAAAGACTTTTTTGCAATAGACAATTAAGATGACCTTTTTCTCTGCTAGGCTTAAATTAAAGTGCAATCGTTCTTCCTTTCGTTTTAATAGAGGTGATTCAGCAAGCATGCATTCCACTAGCCCACAGCCTAAGCCCCTCAGTCATCTTGCGAAGTGTTCTATTAATATTCTGCTAAGTTAAACTTTACACAACTCACCGCAACAATGAACTGAATCATTTTCTCAAAAACTGATCATTAAAGAAAAGTCATTCCTGATGCATAAAATGGCACTTGTGCTTCAAGTTTTGTGAAAAACTTATTACTCATTAAACACAGCAGTGCCAGATACTGCCAACAGAAGGCATACAAGTAAACAAGTTCATTATTACCTGAGAAGGACAGGATGCAACAAATAGGGGACAGATAGGGAAGCAAAATGAAAATAAAGCTATCATTCCAGACATCAGATGTTGTACTCATTCCTGCAAAATGAATAGCCTGTTCTCAATGAGATCAAGACCTCCTCTGAAGAAAATACTGCAGATTAAAAGCACAGGGGCAAGAATACTTTGAAACACTTAAGCAAAAGGAGCACTCTCTTTGGCCTATCTTAACCTTTGTGTTACTGAGGATGCTGACAACCTCTAGGTTATTCTAAACATTCATAAATATATTTCAGGGCTCAATGCATATGACATACATGGAGGCACCAAGGGAACTGGGTTTGTTCCACCAGAGGAACACAAGACTGCAGGAGGGTGTAACTCCAGTCTTCTACTCCCTAAAGTGGAGTTACAAAGATGACAAAGCCAGGCTCTTTTCAGAAAAAGTGCACAAGCCAGGCCAAGAGGTTACAGTCACAAGTCAGTGCAAGGGAAATCCCAGTTGGACATATGAAAAAATTCTCCACAGTGAGAATTAAGTACAGGAACAGGGTACCCAGAAAGGCTGTGAAATCTCCATCTTTGGAGATATAAAAAAAACTTGACTGAAAAAGGCCCTAAGCAACCTGACCTCGCTTTAAGCAGGACAATGGATTAGTTGCTCTCCAGATGTCCCTTCCCACCAGAATTGTTTTATGACTATGTCCCTCCACTACTGGACGCATTCATAGCAGAGGAAATTCCATTTTACCTGTGCTAGAATGAGTGAAGCATATTAAAGCATCATTAATTACCCCAGA